ATATGATAAAAACAGCAAGAATAAAAATAGAATTAACAAAAATAATAAGTTTAACAAATTTAGGAAAAACAAGAAATAAAAATCTTTATTATTTATAATAAACATTATTGATATATTCTTTTACTTTTGCTACAAAAAGTATTTTGTTACAATAAAAAATTGCATTTTTTTATTCTTAGAGTTATCAAATTTACATACTGACTGTCCTCAAGATATTTGGACTTTTTAAAATATTGGTGTGAAAGCAACATTGCAAATTATGGAGACAATCATTAAAATCTTAAAATAGAATGCAAAAATTAAATCGAGTTTTACACAATTATGTTAAATTTGCCAAGGATCTTTATTGTATTTACAAACAAGTGAATTAATCAATGCAAGTGGTGAATGAAACAAAGAAGCTGATCAAAGCATTATTAGAAGTAGCAGTAAAACATTCAAAAATTACCAATATTCAATAACAAACTTGGATAATCATTGTTTAAGTAGATCACTATATTTCAACAAATGGTTTTGAAATATAACTGTTATTAAGGATTTATAAAAATATATATTAATCCCTTGAATGATCTAAAAAAATAATTTATACAAGAGAAAAGCTCAGTATCAAATGAAATTCTAGATCAAATAGCATCACAATCAAACTCATTAATAAAATTTGGTGGTATTATGTGATGGGAATGATGGTTTTGTATCAAAATCTAAAAATTTAGAATCATTAAATGTAGCTTGCTTGGTTAAAAGATTTTTTGGAATGACTGCCAGAAGGTATTAAAAATATTAGTGGGTTAGGTAAATATGCCCTCCAAAAATGGTGAAAATTGCTGATTTTATTAAAAATAGCTAGTGCTGGAAGTGCTTATTATTAATAAAGGAGAAAACTGAAAAACTTTACTTCCTAATTTTCCAATGTCTATTTAACTTTAAAAATATTACATTATTGGAATTAAATGTCAGTAATCTTTAATTTAATTTTAGCATCTTTTCTATCAAAATAAGTGGCACAGTGTCAGAAATATTTGGACAAATCTTTGGTATTCAACAACTCCACAACTTTTTTAATTGCCTTTTCCATCTCCTCAAAATTTCTTGGTCGGGTTTTCTCTGTTTATTGTCAGTTATGTTATTTTTGTACATCAGGAAAACATGATTTTCATTCAAGATCAGATGATACTGCAAGTTACATTTTGGAAAAATAAAATATTATTACTATATATATGACTACCAAATTACCAAGGACAGGTTGCTTCTTCAAAAATTTTCTTGAAAGCAACTTTAATTACCCACCTAACCCACCTGGTTAAAAGAAAGATCTTGTTTAGCAATTTGGATTACAACTTTACCTTTGAGTGCAGGTATAATGTATGGTAACCATTTTTATGACTGATGATTTACCTATTTGAATTGTATTTGTATTTTTAATCATTTGATTAGTTTATGAAATAAGGGTTTCTTATTTCATTCAGCATTCTAAATTGTTAAACAAATGTGTAGTTTGAAAGTAAATTCTTTACACCTTGACTGGTTATGATATGAAACCATATTAATATCACATGAAAAATATCTCAGTATAAATTTTATGTATATTAAAATATCAATTATATATCAATAGAGATTTAATTTTCTTGCTTGCCTTTTTTTTATTAAATTTTTTGGACATTTCTTAATGGACCTGGATGTGTTGCTGCAATTATTAAATTATTTGAAGCCTAGAAAAAAAGTTTTAATGAAATTTGATTATGAATTTTTAATAAAAATTATTCACAATTTTTCATTTGAATTGAAATATTAAACCACACCACAATTTATTTTGAAGTTTGGAGTTCTTTTCTGATAGTTCCACAATCAACTGGTTATATGTAACACCACTTGAAAGATCAAAGCACAACCATTTGATGCCTCCGTTGCATGTGTCCATAATTCAAGCTATTCCATTGATTATTAATAGAAGGTTAATAATTATCAGTTATATAATAAGAAAATTTGTTTAAAAATTCTCACATTTGATATGTTTTTTTATATTAGTACATCCAATGCTTTTCAACATTATTCTCTATGCCCTCAATATAGTGTCAATAATTTCAAAATTTGATAAATATATAGGGGCAATACATGAATTTAATTCTATAACAGTTGTTAAATGCTTCTCAAATGTGGGTGTCATAACTGCAAAATGATTTGTCTCTACTGTGGCCATCACTCCAATGTTTTGTACATGGTAGGACTGGACACAGCCAGTTTTCTTTGTGATTTAATTCAGCACCTTCTGATGTACATATTTTGTGCTTGGATGATTGTTGGCATGATGAAAATTTTAAAATTAATTCATGTATCAACCTTGCCTGAGTTTTTACAGTCTCTGCATTACTTTGTGAAATGTTTAATACATGATCAAGTCTTTGTTCAAGTTTGTCAGACATGATAACAACAACAACAATTCTTAATATAAAAATAAAAAAATTATATATAGTAAAAAAAATTATATATAATATATAATATAAAAAAAAATTATATATAACATAAAAAAAAAGGTTGACACTTCTTTATAATAGTATTGTTGTTGGTTATTATATTAGTAATTATTATTCTATATTGTTGTTGTTGTTAAATGTTAGTTACATTGTTGTTGTTTTTAAATGTTAGTTATATGTTGTTGTTATTGTTATTTACTTAACTACATGCTATGTTATAAATTTATCATTTATTGATTATTATATGAGGAAAAGGAATGACAGACAAAAGATAAAAGATAAAAGATAAAAGATTAAAAAGAGATGTTGATTGATATATACATAGCATAATGGACACTGTAAAACAAGCCATTTTATTGGCCAAATTTTGTCGATCTTATTTCAAATCATCACACAAA